ATTTTTTAAAAAGGGCTGGGGATGTGGCTCAGTGGATAAGTGCCCCTGGGTTCAATTCTTGGTATCAATACACACACATACACAAATACACAAAACAACACCACCACCTAAAAAATGGCTGGTGGTACATGCCTGTAATCCCAGTGACTGGGCAGGAGAACCTCAAGTTTGAGTCCAGATTCAACAACTTTGTGAGACTCACTAAATACCTTATGAGACTCTGTATCAAAATAAAAGATACTGGGGATCTGGGGATATTAGCTCAGTTGGTATAGTGCTTGCCTCACATGCACAATGCCCTGGGTTCAATCCCCAGCAGCACACAAAAAAGGGGGCGGGGGCTGGGGATTGAGCTCAGTACTAAAGTGACCCTTTGTTCAATTTCCAGTACCAGAGACAAAACAACAACCACAAACCAACTACAAATGGAACTATCACATGATACAGTTATACCATCCTCAGCATCTACCCAAAAGAATCAGAGACAGCATGCTTTGGAGATACATGCACTCCCTCATTTACTTACAATTCATAATAGCCAAGTTATGGAACAAGTGTAGGTGTCCATCAGCAGATATGAATAAGGAAAAACGTGGTGTATATACACAACGAAGTTTTACTCAGCCATAAAGAAGGATAAAATTATGTCATTTTCAGGAAAATTTGGATGGAATTATGTTCAGTGAAATAAGTCACTCAGAAAGATAAGTGCCATGTTTTCTTTCATATGTGGAAGCTAGACAGAAAAAAAGGGGAAAATGGGAGCCCATGAAAATAGATCCTCAATAGGGTAAATAAGGAGGTCAGGGGGAGGGATGGGCAAGGGGAGGTACTGGAGAGCTAAATTGATCAAATGATGTTTCATGTATGAATTGAATATGTCACAATGAAACCCACTATTCTGTATAATCAATATGCAACAGTTAAAAATTTTAAAAAGAAAATATTCAAAGAAATGAAAAATAAATAAAATACTCAGTTGTGTACTATAATAAAGATGAAATTTAAGGTACATGAATTGATTTTCAGTTAAAAAAACTGGAAATAACCTAAATGTCCATATCCATGGAAAATTAAATTTAAAAATATGGTAAATTCACACAATGGGATTATATATAGCCATTAAAGAAATATTGAGAAGTGAGGAAAAAATGCCAAGCTATATCATTAAGTTAAAAACAACATTTGTTATGATTTGAGAAATAAAAAGCAATACATATACAGGTAGATGAAGTTCACATTAGTGTGTATGTGCATGCACACATATACCCCTCATACTGTTATTTTTAAAAAGCAGTCATAATGATCAGCTTTAGAGATTTAGTTTTTCCTAACCTTATATCTTTTATTTATTTATTTTCTTGAATGTTTTTAGAGGTTATCCAGGCAGAGAAACATGGGCCTTTTGTTATCTTCTTTGTATATCTTTGTATTCTCAAATATTCCTAGTGAAATTTGGTTTAATAAAATAAAACAAAAATTGTATACAGTCTCCCTCCAAAGCATTCTTATTTTTCATTTTAGAAAAATTTTACAGGAACTTGATGATTCTTGTCCTTAAATTTGTACTTAAAATCAATGAACAGAAACAGAAATCTTTAGAAAACTCCATTCACTTGAAATAAAAAACTAATTTTCAAAAGAAATCATAATGAATTAGCCAATTTCTCATTTTAAAAAATACTAAATGAAAACAGGTGACTATTACCCAGAAGTGAGTTTAGTTTTGCTCTTTGTTGTCATCCTTTGAGCACCATAAATTATGAAAGGAATTTGGGTCCATACCATTTCTCACATCTGGCTTGACATTTCTTCAATCTAACAGTGCCTCTTCTGGTCCTGTGATTCACATTCAGCTGGTTCACTGATGTTGGAAGAAAGCTTAATTTGGAGAAGATGAAGGGAAAATATTCATTTTGAAATGTGGAAGGAAAAGGCTTTAGTTCACCTTTCTTTTTTTAATATTTATTTTTTTAGTTGTAGTTGGACACAATACCTTTATTCCATTCATTTATTTATATGTGGTGCTGAGGATCGAACCCAGGGCCCCACACATGCTAGGGGAGCGCTCTATCTCTAAGCCACAATCCCAGCTCTCAACTTTCTTTTAAAAAAAAAATTTTTTTTTTAGTTGCAGATGGAGTCTCTCTCTCTCTCTCTCTCTCTCTCTCTCTCTCTCTCTCTCTCTCTCTCAATGTGGTGCTGAGGATTGACCCCAGTGCCTCACGTACCTGAGGCAAGCACTCAACCACTGAGCTACAACCCCAGCCCTTTAGTACACCTTTCTAATATAACAGAAAGAAACAAATTAAAACATAGCTGTGAGTGGGGGCTGGAGTTGTGGCTCAGAGGTAGAACAGTCGCCTAGCACATGTGAGGCCCTGGGTTTGATCCTCAGCATCACATAAAAATAAATAAAATAAAGGTATTGTGTCCAACTGCAACTAAAAAATAAAAAAAAATAGTTGTGAGTATGATGATTATTACCAGAAGCTGGGTGGGATGAAGACTTGAGTTTAATAAGTATGAAAAAGTTCTGGAGATTGGTCATACAATCATATGAATGTACATAACATTACTAACCTGTATATTCAGAAATGGTTAAAATACTAAAATTTATGCTAAGAACATTTTACCACAATAAAAATAATTAAATAAATCTAGTTGCAGTGTAAATAGTCCAGGTTAGTGGCAACAGATTTGAGACCATTTTTACCTGAAGTCAAATGTTTATCATAAATCAGACCCTCCTGGATTTGATATAAACTTTAATTCCTGTCACTTCCCACAGCGAGCACATGTCTCTTAATTTACTAAAACCATAGCTGTAGAACAACTTAATTTAAACTTTTAATATCATTGGTTTTGCATATTTAGAGATCGATGTAAAAAGACTGTGAACATGTTCTTCAAAAAATAAAGACTACATAATTTCATTTTTACAAATACAACTAAGTGGAGAGCATCAAATTTCCTGAGATGACAATTAGAAAAGGAACAGATGTGGAGGATTAGAGATAGACCAATTACTCCCAAGGTGGGGCTTGTCCTTCCAGAAGAAATTTGCTAACTTCTGAAGATACTTTTTGTCATAACAACTGGGAGGTGTAGGGAAAGAAACTAGCAAATGGTATGGGTAGAGCCTTGGTTTAGGATACTGCTAACCATCTTACAATGCATTGGACAGGTCACCATTAGAAAGAATGATCTCAAATGTCAATAGCACCAAGGTTGAGAATTCCTGGATTTGAGTTCTTATCTCTAACTTTGGCCACTCTTACTCAACCTTTGCTACAGGCTTCTCTTCTTCTGTCTGTCATTAGCTATTCAAGATTCTGTTTTTCAAATAAATGAAAAGAAAGGGAGATGGAAAGTTTCATCAAAATAGAAGACCAGTGGAGTAGAGGAAGGGGTTTGAGGTTGGGGGGTGAGGGATGGGATAAGGGAAGAACAGTGGAATGAATCTGACCTAACTTTCCTGTGTACATATATACCACAGTGAATTTCCCCATTGTGTATATTCACAAGGCACTACTTAAAAAAAGACATAAATAGCAGAAAGATCAGTAGAGTGGAGGAAAGGGAACAGGTGGGGGGAGGAGAAGGAAAGGGGAAGTACTAGGGACTGAATTAGAGCAAATTATATTCTATGCTTTGATAATTATATCAAAATGAATCCTAATGTTATGTATAACTAAAAAGTGTCAATAAAATTTTTGGAAAAAAAGTTTCTGTTTTTAGCCCATTTCTCTTTTCTCTTAGGGATATCATCCATAACCATGACTTCAACTACCACCTCTACATTGTTGACTCCCATATCATTATGTGTTGTACCAACTATTCTTCTAGCAATCACTATCTCAATATTCCTTCACATCTTTTCATTAGGCTACTGCTATACCTAATTTTCGTGTCTTTATTAGTAGCATCTGATACAAAACAATAGGGTTATTTATTTCCCAAACATTTACTGAGTACCTAATTTGTGTAAAGGGCTGTGGTGGGTACTCGGATGAAGGTAGCAATGATGGAAATGGGAGGTAGTTATGATAGTGAGTGCCCTAATTATGGCAACAGATTTGCAAGAAGAGATTATTATGTTCTGGAAACCAAAACTTGAAGAATTTAATTAATTACTTAAAGACCACAGAGCTTGTAAATGGCACAATTTTATTTCCAGTTCTCTTTTGATATTGAATATTGAAATCTGTCATTAAAAAAAATCAAAGGTGGTGCTGGAAAAGTATGGTCTAAAAAAGTGGACTCGGAACTGGGCTATTTGAATGATGAGGTCTAAATCCAGAAGCCTTTTCTTTTAAGACACACTGTACCTTCTTTTAGTTAAGACTTATCATATATACGGCGTACCACCTATAGTAAAATAGTCATTATTTTCCATGGCTTTAAGAAAGAAAAAATATTGCCAATTAAAGTATGGAATGTTATCAATTGTCAAGTCTCAAGAGAGTTCCCAGATATTGAAACGTGGAAAACAATATAGTAAGCCTTCAAAGCTTACACATTTGTTAAAATATAAAGAAAAAGCGATTTTGGATTCTGTGATATGGTGACTTTATTTTATATATCCATTTTCCATGATCAATGTGCTGTTTTGCACTCTAGTCAACCAGTCAGCATGTATGTATACTGCTTTTTAAATGGTTGTAATTTTATGGCTCTGTGATGTGCATCTGCAGCTGGATTGTAAAGCTCTAAAGTAAATCTGCGTGACGCTCCCACACACAGACATCGATAAACCATGAATAATTTTCCACTTAGAGGCAAATTTGAGCTTCTCGCATAGATTGTATAGTTACATCTGGAGGCGCTAGGGTAAAACATTATATTACAACATACGCAGTTTTTTAAGTCTCTTCCTGGTAGAAACGTTAAAGTGGGGTGGGGTACGTAGCGGGGTGGAGGTGCGGAGGCGGAGAAGGGATATACGTCTCAGGATACAGGAAATACGGTAAGAGGAAAAACCGGGAGGAAGCCAGCTGGTTCCTGAAGGGGATCCGCCGCCATCTCAGGTCTCTCAGCTTTGCCTGGGCCCATCGGAGAAAACTGTCGCTCGGGTCCTATAACACTTATGGGGGACCAACCTTGTGCCTCCGGGAGATCCACACTCCCACCCGGGAACACGCGGGAAGCCAAGCCTCCCAAAAAGCGCTGCCTTCTCGCTCCGCGGTGGGATTATCCGGAAGGAACTCCCAACGGCGGTAGTACCGATCTTCCCTCCGCTCCTCCTCCCGCATCTGCCGGCCTGAAGTCGCACCCTCTTCCTCCGGAGAAGTAGTGAAATATACATTTCCCACCCGAAACCAGGTCAGAGTCTTTCGTTTTCATCTGGGTCACCCAGGCTCTCCGAAGCTTAATTACGTATTTCCATGTTCTTTCCGCAATTTCAAAATAGAAGAAAGAACATGCAGGCACTAAAAAGCCCTTTCACAAGATATGTTTGTATGAAGTGATGGATATTTGATGGCATTTAGTAGATATTTTTAATATTTTATTTATTTATTTAAGTTTTAGATGGACACAACATGTTTATCTTTATTTATTTTTAATGTGGTGCTGAGGATCGAACCCACGGCCTCACGCTTGCAAGGCAAGCGCTCTACCATTGAACTACAACCCCAGTCCTATTTTTAATATTTTAGATGTGATAATTGTAATGTTTTAAAGAAATAGGCTTGAATATTTTGATTTGCTTGAAAGTAATTCAGTGGGGTTAAGGTGTGGGGGCAGAGGATGAACAAAATTTTCGTGAGTTGATAAATTAAGCAGGATGATGTCTATGTGGGGATTTATTATACTGTTGTCTCTGCTTATGTATGTTTTTTCAAAATTTTCCGTTTAAAAAGAACCTAGTTCAAAATAAAATAACAAGACTGTATTGAAGGCCTAATGCCTATGCCCAGCACTGTGCTAAAAAGAGGGGATTGTAAGGTGAGCCTTCGGAAGTATGTCTTTCTGTGTGTAAGGTGAGAGAGTTTAATAAGGAAAAAAAGTCACAATATGATGTACAAACCCAAGTGCCATAATGTTTGCTTGTTCAAGATATTCAGGAAGTATGGAGGATGGGTCAAGTCAATCTTCCTGGTAGTAATAGTGAGCTATCAAAGAGGAAGGGTGAGCTTTGGGTGGGCCTTAAAGGGTGAGTGACATCTGCCATGTGAAGGGAGATAGAATGCTTTTTAGGCCTAGGGTTTCCAGAACAAAAGCCTCAAAGTATGCTTGTTCTGGGAACAGCTTGGCTGTAATTGTGACTCTAAGAAGGACTAGCAGGTGAAGACAGAGTGCCCTAGGGCCTTGAACATGCTAAGGAAATAAGTAAGTTTATTCCATAAACAGTAGAAACCACAGAATATTTTCAAGCAAGTGTTATGATTTGTATTTTAGGAATTTAGTTCTTACTATCAGAAAAGCAGTCTCCTATTTAAATGAGTTTTGTAGAATGCAAAATATAAAACCAATTTTGACCCAAGTCTCAGAGGTCCTTATAATCCAAAGGAGAGAGGCATCATTCCTCATCTATACAGTAAACCTTTGTGGAACATTTGCATTGCATAGGTATTGTGCTGGGAATTTATCTATTTATTTATTATTTATTTTATAGTTGGACACAATACCTTTATTTCACTCATTTATTTTTTTACGTGGTGCTGAGGATCGAACCCAGAGTCCCCGCGTGTGAAACAAACGCTGTATCACTGAGCCACAACCCCAGCCCTGTGCTGGGAATTTTAAGAGGATGGATGACCAAGGCATAATGGCTGGTGCATAGCTGGAGTGAAACAAGATATTTGAGTAAATAAGTCAATGAATAAGGGGATAACTGACAACCATGGAGGCTCTAGACATGAGGTGTGGTTGTAGAGCATAGAAAAGAATGAGCTCTGTTTCACTTTTGACAGCATCTGATGTCATTCCATAGAATTTTACTTCCCTCATTTTCACCTCAGTCCAGAGAGGTAATGAGGTACCATAGAATAGGCTATAGGGAGAGCAGTGCTCAGCTAGAAAACAAAGGAAGATGTGTAGACAAGAAGTGCAGGAGCTATGTAATCTCTCCTTAGTGATTCAAATTGTTGAAAATTATAATAAAAGTTTTTGCTGAAGTTTTTATGGGCCATAAATAAGGGCTTTGCATATTTTAATTTGTTTAATCACAAGAACTCCACTAAGGAGATTTATATAAGTCAAAGGAAGTTTGTAACTTGCCAGAAGTTATATAGCACTAAGTAGCTGAGCTGGGATTTGAACTCAGAATGTTTGGTTAGTCTGTGCCCTAAACTGCTGTGCAGTATACGCCTTCTGATACTCAGCAGAGAAACTGTTTTGTAGGAATATATCATTGAAATGTGGCCACAATGAAACTTAAGGAATCGAGGAGGCTACAGAAAAAAAGAAGTGGACAGTAATTGAAGTGATTTCACCTTAATTTTACTATTTTTCAGTCTTTGAAGGATTGCAGTATGACTCCATTTCCTTGGTGCATTCGTAAAATAGTTCACCCAATGAAGACAATGAAGATTATTTACACTGCTACCCTGCTTTTTCTGATGTTCTGCACCTGGCAGTTGTGATTTCCAAGGTAATCTCTTTACTAAAAATTTATTAAGTAAAGGAGGAAAAAGAGTTGATTTTGACACATTAAAAAGAACTACCCACCTGGGTGTGGCACACACCTGTAATCTCAGTGGTTTGGAAGGCTGAGGCAGGAGGATTGAAAATTCAAAGCAAGCCTCAGCAACTTAGCAAGGCCCTAAGCAACTTAGTGAGACCCTATCTCTAAATAAAATATAAAAAGGGGCTGGGGATGTGGTTCAGTGGTTAGGTGCCCCTGGGTTCAATCCCCAGTACTAAAAAACGAAAACCAGCCAAGTGAAAACCAAAAAGCTGGCTCCAGTGATAAAATTTAAACCATTTTCTACATTATATGAAGCGATATACACCTAATAATAATAGTGTAGTCTGTAAGGGTTTTTTTCTTTTAGTTTTACTCCTAATTATAGTTTCTGTTGTTGCTGCAAAATGAATATTTTAAAATTTGTTATAAATGGGAACGTGATTGATATTTTCATATATTGATTTTATATGCTGAAGCTTTTCTGAGTTGTATTTGTACTAATTATTTATAGATTTTTAGATTATCTTTTAACTATAATGTGAATAATGGCAGTTTCTTCCTTTCCATTTTTTTTAGCTTGATTTACTATGCTAGCCAGGATCTTTAATACAAGGAAAAATAAAAGCAGTGTAGAGTTTTGTTGCCTTGGTCTTGAGAATTTTATGAAAGTTTCACCCTTTTCAGTAGATTTTCTTTTTTGTGTTAAGAAAGTTTCTATTCCTAGCTTACTAAGAGTTTTAATTTTGAATGGTTATGGAGTTTTTAGCAATGTGCTTTGTCTGTATCTACTTCCGTAATTATGTTTTTTCCTCCATCAATATGATCATGTAATAATGTGATAAATTACAATAATTAATTTTCTCATGTATTTCCTGCTTTTGGTTAAAACAGTATTCACCATTGAGTATTTTGTTTTCTATTTTAATAATTTTTGCTTTTTATATTTCTCTTCGAGTTTCTTTTTATTTGTTCTTTCTTTAATTTAAAAAGTTTGACCTATAGCTCATTAATTTTTTCTTAATTTCTAAAATAAGAAGTTAGGACTATAAATTTTCGTCTACCACTTTAGAAGGATTTCACGTTACTATATGTAGTATTTTTAATCATTCAATATTTGTTTCTTTCTATGTTCTCTAATGATTTCTTCTTTGACCTATGAGGTATTTTTTTAAAATTTCTAAACATAGGCTCCTTTTTAATAAATTTTATTAATGATTTAAAAAATCATTAAACTCAATTTTTTCTGCTTTAAAATGTTTTTTAATGTTGATTACAACAACAAAGTATACACTGGCTGCTTATCCAATAGAATTTATCAATATATAACTTATTTTCATTAAGTACATAGAAAAAGCATGGGCATGATATTTACTAATGGCATTATTGCTGATTTTGATGCTTGTGTTTTAAACTTTTTATTTTGATTTAATTCCACACTTTAAAAACTATGAGAGGGCTGAGGATGTAGCTCAATAGTAGAGTGTTTGTGTAACATGTGTGAGGCTCTAAATTCAATCCCTAGCCCAGCAAAAAAATAAATAAAGCCTCTGAGAATATTACAGAGGCTGGGTATGGTGGCACATACTTAGAATCCCATCAACTGGGAAGGCTAAGGCAGGACGGTTTCAAGTTTAAAACTGGTCTTATCAGTTTAGTGAGACTTTCAGCAAACTTAGTGAGACCCTGTCTTAAAACAAAAAAATAAGGAGGACTGGGGATGTAGCTCAATGGTAAAGAGCCCCTGGGTTCAAGAGAATATTCCAAAGAACTCCCATAGATACCCTTTTACCCAGGTTCACCAATTAACATTTTGCCACATTTGCTTTATCATTATTTTTTTCACCCTCATTCCCTCTCCCATTTTCATAGTAAGTTGGCAGATATCCTTCCCCTTTACCTGTTAGTACTTCATTATGTGTTTTCTCAGAATGATGACTTTCTTATATGTAACCTTGGTACATGTGTCAAAAACAAGAAATTTTACATTGTTCCAGTATTATTATCTATGTCATACTTTAATTTTACAATTATTCAAAAAATGTCTTTTATAACTATTTTCTTTTCTTGGTAGAAGTTGCAATCTAGGATGATAATATCGTATTTAGTTTTTATCTTTCCAATTCTTAATCTGGAATAATCCTTCAATTTTTTTTTCTTTCATGATATTGGCAATTTTTAAAATTGCCAATCATTTGGTAGAATGTTCTTCAATTTAAGTTTGTTACATATTATTATATCTGGCTTCTTATCCCAATATAATTTGTTAATATATAACTGTTATTTTCCTTAAGTACATAGAAAAAGCATGGGTATGGTATTTATTGATGGCATTATTGCTGATTTTGATTCTTATGTTTTAAACTTTTTGATTGAATTTCACAGTTTAAAAACTTCTGAGAGGTCCAAGGATGTAGATCAGTGGTAGATGAATAATATAGACATAATATTTAATATGCAATCTATTTAATATAGTAATATTAATAATATGATAATAATCATTGTTGGAAGGAATACTACAGAAGTAATATTGTGTTGTTCTCAGGCCATCATATTGGTGGCACATGATGCTGGTGTGACCCCTTAGGAGTAATATTAACTTTGATTATTTAAGGTGTTGGGTGTTTTCCAGATTAACCCACTCTAAAGTTGCCATTTTTCTTTTTGTAGTTAGTAATTTTGCTGGGAATACTATGAGACTGTGTGAATATCCTGTTCCTCATCAAACTATTTTCCACTAGCTTTTGCATCCATTGCTAATTCTTGACTGAATTAGTTATTACCATGATGACTACAAAAATGATAATTTTCAAACTCCATCTTTTTTACTACATTACTAGTTTAAATACTACTTCAAGGAAGAGCTTTTTTCTCCATGTATTTATTCATTTCTTTGAGCACAGATATTTAATTTATTTCTCAAATAGGATGTTGCTATCATTATTTAATGCTCAATTGCCCAAATTAAGTCATTGACTGCCCATTCAAATTGTTTCCTCTGTCCTTTTGACATGTCCTATCATTTCATAGATACTTTAACTTACTTTAACATTTCTTTTCTTCCTTACTTTCAGGCTCATCTTGTATTTTCTACTCCATTGACCATTTCTCTATGGGACTCTGGTACTAAGAGATGGTATTTAGAAACTGAGGCATGGGTATATGGATCTTTTTATCTTAACATTTTGTTATTGTTTCTCATTTTAATTTCGCTGAGTACAAACATTATTTAGTATTTGTTGAAATGTTTGCTTTATGTCCTTGAGAACATGATCAGTTGTTTCATGTGTACCTGAAAATATTTTGTATATTCTAACTGTTATATGTAGGGTTATATAAATATTCATTAAACTTGTTAATTGTGTTGTTTAAATCTATATCTCTACTAATTTTTTGTGCTAAATCTATCAGTTATCAAGAGAGGTAGATTTAAAATCTCCCACTGTGATTGTGAATTTGTCAACTTCTTGTAGTTCTGTCAATTTTTGTTTTGTGGAATTAAGGCTTTGTTGTTATGTACATACAAGTCTAGAATAGACAAATCTTTTATTTTTAAGTGATGCTTTTATCTTCTTGCATTTAAAATCCAGTTTGTTTGCTACTAATATACTTTCACCAGCTTTCCTTTGTTTGGTTGCTTCTTTTTCAGTTCTCTTACTTACTTTTTTGTCTTTCTTGTATTTTTCAGAAAATGTTCTGCCAAAAATGTCAATGCATTGCTTTGTTTCTAAATTTACTAGTAAGATTTATAATTATCATTAAGGTTAAGTTTATGTATCCAAATAATACTTTTCTTCACTAATTTTTTACTTTGTAAAATTTCAACCCAATGGAAAAGTGGAAAGATATCATCAGTGTAGATTCATCAATTACTTGCTTTTTGCTGTATGGGTTTTCTCTTTCTGAATACACACACACAGTTTTTTGCTGAACCCTTTGGAAGTAACTTGCAGTTATCATGACACTTATCCCTAAATACTTCATCATGTCTCTTATAAAAACATGCATTTCTGTTATTGCACCTGAAGAAATTTAACATTGATACAATGCTACTACTACATTGTCCCGTCAAATTTTCCTAGTAATATTTTTATAGCTTTTCATTTGTTCTGATCTAGTCAAGGATCATACATTTTGTTTAGTTATTGTGATTGTTGAGTCTTTTTAAATCTAGAATAGCATTCTTCAGTGTTTTGCTTTTAATTTTTCATGATATTGGCATTTCTGATGAGTCCAGGCAGTTGTCCTATATATGTCCACTATATGAACTTGTCTGATTGATTTGTTTCCACAACATCAATTTAAACATTTCTTTTTTTTTTTTTTTTTTTTTGGTTCTGGGGATTGAACCCAGGGGTGCTTAACCACTAAGCCACATCCCCAGTCCTTTTTAATATTTTATTTAGAGACAGGGTTTCACTGAGTTGCCTAGGGCCTCACTGAGTTTCTGAGGCTGGCTTTGAACTCGTGATCTTCTAATCTACTTATACTATTTTTTTTTTTCTGTGGTGCTGGGGATTGAACCCAGGACCTTGTGCAGGCAAGGCAAGCACTCTATTGACTGAGCTATATCTCCAGCCCATAGGTTGATAATTTTTAAGAGGCAAGTATGATCAAGTTCCTTTCCTAGTAATCTTGCTTCTTTGACCTGCTGGCATATCATTTTAATTCCTCCCATATTTTCTTGTTTGTATTCTGTATTAGTTTTCTATTGCTATTATATCAAGTTTATCACAAATTTTGGAGCTCAAAACAGTACATTTATTATCTTATAATAGGTGAGAAGTCTGGTGTAAGTTTAATCAGAATGAAGTCAAGGTGTTGACCAGCTGTGTTCCTTTCTGGAAGCTCTAGGGGAGAATCTGTATCCTGCCTATTCAGTTGTCGGCAGATCCCAGTTCCTTGCAACTATAGATCCGGATGCTGTTTCTTTGCTGGTTGTCAGCTGAGGGCTGTTCCTGTCTTCTAGAGGCCACCTGCATTCCTTGGTTTATGGACCCTTTTCACCATCTTCAAAGCCAACTATAACAGGTTGAGTCCCTCTCACACTTACACTTTCTCCATTTTCTTCTTTCATCATCTGTCTCTGACTCAGGTAGGAAAAGGTCATTTGTACCCATGGAATTAGATCACACCACCTATATAATCTAGAATAATCTCTAAAAAAATCCTTAACCTAATCACATCAACAAAGTTGCTTTTCCCTCTTAAAACAACATAGTCATGGTTTCTGGGAATTATGGTGTGGACATCTTTGGGTAGCCAGTATTCTGTCTACCATGGATTCCATTATAGCAGCTAGCCATAACCTAACACCCAGTGTTTGAACCATCCATTCTTTCATTCAATCAACAAAAAATATGAAAGAACATCTATTAAATTGAGTATCTCTTAAATTTCAGGCATTGTTATAGGTGCCAAGGTTCCAAAAATAATGTATTTAATTCTCCCAAGAAGTCCATAAATGGTTTGCTTAAGTTCTGCAGATAGAGATTAGCATAACAATAAGAGTGTGTACAGGGCCATACCACCTAGATTAGAAGTATCCAGGATAGCCTCTTGTGTAGATCAGATTCTCAGCTGAGTCTAAGAAAGGGGTCTAAGTATTAAATAAGGATAAGTAATGGTAAAGGGGCAAATAGAACTTTAAGTAGTGAGAATATAATGACCAAATATATAGAGCTCAAGATAGCCTGTTCTTTTGGTGGGGGAGGGTTGGTAGAGGTGATGGTAGTTAAATCTATTAGTCATGTAGTTTCCTGCAATGTATTGACTTCTGGGCTTTGGTTAGGTGAGTTTGAAATCCATAGAGTAGGCTCTCAGGAAGGGCCCAGGCTGAACTCAGGTGAAGGCTGAAACTGAAGTTCACAAATGGAATTTCTTCTTTTTCAGGAAATTCTTAACTCCGTTCTTAAAGCTTACCAACTGATTGAATCAGATCCACCTCGGTTATCTAGGAGAATCTCATTTAAGTCAACTGATATAGATGTTAATCACATCTGCAAAATACCTTCACAGCATCACCTAGATCAGTTTGATTGAATAACTGAGAACTCTAGCCAAGCCAGATTGACATGCCAAAACCTGGAATGATTCTCAGGTTTCTGGCATCAGTATCAATTGAAATCACTATCTGAAATACAGAATAGAATAGAAGGAGCAGGTTTTCAATATGGTTGGTAAGATAGCTAGGTCGAAATTCCTGGCAGGCAGGTAAAAGGTCACAAGAAAGGTAAAAGATCAAGAGTTTTGATCATATAAATAGGCTAAGAAGCAGTCAGTATAAAGATGAAAGTTAAAACCAGAAGTGTAAATTAGATACTCTAAAAGAAGATATATGTATATAGAACAAAATTATGAGTTTTGGAGAAAATTCTGGTGACCACCACCATTTAAAAATTATATAGAAGGTGGGCTTGGTGGTGCACACCTATAATCCCAGTGGCTCAGGAGGTTGAGGCAAGAGGATCACAAGTTTGAGGCCAGCCTCAGCAACTTAGGGATACCGTGTCTGTAAATAAAAAAACAAAAAATGTGACTGAGTCATAGTGCCCCTTGGTCAGTCCCTGGTACCCCAAAAAAATTATATAGAAAAAGATGAATAGATAAAGGAGAAGTAGGATAATGGGAGAACCTGGGAAAGTTTGCTGCCTGAATTTAAAAAAAAATGAATAACAGTGTTGTAAATGGTAGAGAATCAGTATTGAAGAATATTCATTAATTTGTAAGTTAAATTCATTGGTGAATTAAGCATGAATAATTTCAGTGCTGTTGTGAGAACAGAAGCCAAATTGCAGTGGGTTGAAGAATTATTAGGAGGTGCCAAATTGAGGCTAGGTGGTGTAGATCACTCTTCGGAGAATATTTAGAGGAGAAGGAAAAATAAAAATTGGATGAGATTTAAAAAGTGAATTGGGGCTGTGGTTCTGGCTCAGAAGTAGAGCACTTGCCTAGCCTGTGTGAGGCACTGGGTTCGATCCTTGGCATCACATAAAAATGAATAAATAAAGTTATAAAAAAAAGTCTTGTATCTGTTTAAAATTTTTTTAAAAAAATATGAATTATAACTAAAACAATTAAGAGAATATAAAAATAATGGTAGAAACTTGCTCAGGTTTTTTAGCTGAAAGTAATAAGAGGAAGAGAGTGATGATACAAGAGAAAACTATTCATAACTGAGAAAGAAGAAATAGGCCTGGTTGTTAGAGGGAGATGCAGTTACAAGAGAAGAACTTAATTTCTTCTTTGGATGAGACTAGAGTAATTGTTCTTAATGATTGAAGGTGGTATAATCCTGAGAGGATGGTTTGAAAGTTTGTGAAAGGTGTTCAAGATCATCATAATGATTGGAAGGCTTTCTGGCATATTGTGGGTAGGATCAAGATTGCTAAATGGCCTGCAATATGCAAGAGAGCCTGTACAAAGATTTTTCTACATCCCATAAAACCTTTGAATATCCTGTTTGTAGGTGAAAATCCTATTTATATTAAATTAGGCCTTGAGTTGAATGTCATCTTAACTACAAACATTTTTAGTATACACTGACTTTTCCAGGAGTGCAACTATAATATAAACCAAAATAAGATCTTACTTTGTTTTGTTCAGTATCTTACCAAGAATGTTGATCATTTTGAAAATCTACCCAAAATGCTGCTCTTGGATATTTAAGACATTAATAACAATACATCTACATCAGTCAGCATTTGTAGCTGCCATATTTTACAGACATTGAATTTATATATTGAAATACATTTTATCTCATTATAAATTATATGTCTTTTTCATTTTATAAATATAGATTTTTAAATTATTTTTTGAGTTTTACTTTAGTACAGTAAAATAGGCATTAAAATATTTTAAAAAGGGAGTGAGATAGGATTGAAAAACATTGGCCCAGACAAAAGAATGAATGAAAATTCTGGTAAGTTTTAAGTAGAAATGCAGAGATTTATGAGAATGGCTTATATATCAGGCTTTGTGTTAGAGGTTGCCGTAACTAATTCTCAAACCCACCAAATACATTTCAGTCCTAATCGCAATCAACCCTTTTGTAACATTTAAAATTCTCTTCTCTTTTCTATAACGTCCTTCTCTTCTAATCTCTCTTTTTACATATTTGGCCATTGTTTCTCAGTTTTCTTTCCTAAATAATTCTTCTCTGCTTGGATCCTTGGATTTGTGGATCCTGAATTTCCCTGTTTTAATACTTACTTCTGCTTGGCAGTATCACCCACTGTCTTGAGTTAAATTAAATGTATATATGCAGATAATCCCCAAATTTGTATCTCTAACACAAGACTTTATACCAAACTTCAGACTCATGTAAATTGCAAACTCTGTACATGCTTCCTCAGCACCTCAATGGAACATGGACAACAAACAGTGAACTCTTCACCATACCAGCAGGACTATACACCTCTTCCTTATTCATGATACTAGGACACATATCATGTTTCTGCTCTTACTGCTACCATTTAATCTGTCATCAGGTTATAATGAATATTCCCTCAAAATTTCTCATGAATTTGTCATTTCTATTCCATTTCCCAAATACTGGATTAGACCCTCACCATTTCTTCCTAAATGTGAATAATAATTTGTTAATTGCTTTCCTGCCTATACTACTGCCTATTGACTCTTGGCACCACCTCTAGAATGAATTCTTTAAAATAAATATCTAACCCTAAAATTTTCCTACTTAAAATACTTTGAAGATTTCCTGTTTTCTTTTTTTTAATATTTCTTTATTTTTTAGTTATAGTCAGACACAATACCTTTATTTTATTTATTTATTTTTATGTGGTGCTGAGGATCGAACCCAGGGCCTCGCATGTGCTAAGCAAGTGCTCTACTGCTGAGCCACAACCCCAGCCTGAAGATTTCCTGTTTTCTATGAAAAAGTCTCAGTATACTTGAAAAAATTTTTCATGGCACAGCTCAAATTCCATCCCAAATGTATGTAAGCTTTTTAATATGAGTGCCTCTGAGGATATATTGAAGTTACTCTTATTTCATGCCCATTTATTTATAGAGATACCAGTGCCTCACATCTTTATCCACAAGTATACCAAATGCACATAATTATTTAGTCCTCCTCATCTGTTATACTTTCAGGAAATTATACCTTGATATCATATCCTCTGATTCTAGAATAGCTTCCTCTTTGGTACTTCTGTGCATATTATTTGTACCTGTTTCCACAGAGAAAGTAACAAAATGGTGGATGCAAATTATAATAATACCCTAATTCCAACTTGCTAGTTGTGGATATGAAAGAGAAGTAGAATGCTCATAGAACATTGTAGGTTTGTTTCTTCATTTCTGCTTTTTTTTTTCTTTTTAGTACTGGGGATTGAACTCAGGGGTACTTGACCACTGAGTCACATCCCCAGCCCTATTTTGTATTTTATTTAGAGACAGGTTCTCAGTGAGTTGTTTAGTGCCTCACCGTTGCTAAGGCTGGGTTTGAACTTGTGATCCTCCTGTCTCAGCCTCCCATTGGGATTATAGGCGTAAGCCACCACACCTGGCCATTTTTGAATTTTTACCACAGTGGTTGTACATGGGAATGTGGATATCTTTTTTCATAATTGGAAGTGTGCACATAATAGCAGGATCATGGTTCACAATCTCCCTTTCTTATGGCTAGGTCCTACAGGCACACTCTGGGGGGCATCCCATCAACAAGAGCTTTGTGGGTGGTGTGTTCTTTCTCTGAGAAGGAGGCTGCTTGTGTTGCCCTGCAACTCCAAGTGTTGGTTACCACCCTGTGAAGGATTCCTGCACTAGATCCTTGAAAACAGCCCAAGTGGAGTGAGGATATATATTCTCCTAGTCCTCCTCCTCCTCCTGGCATACACTCTCCTTTTTGCTTTGCCTTTCACTTCCTACTGTTAGCCAGTTCATGGCTCCTATTCTGTTGAAGAAAGCAAGTATCCTTTCTCTGCTTGTTTCATTTGGGAAAATGCACTATGCTAGCATGATGGGGACACTACAAAAAATTCATCCATGTTACTTGCAAATGTAGAAGG